CATGGTGGAAATAGAAAGGTGACCCATTGCGCATAATGGCGGAAGCCCATGACTTCAACCAATCAGAAATTGAGCTCATTTGCGGCGGGACTATTCAAACGTGAAATAAAAAGAACGTAGCAGTTTATTGATTTTTATTAAATATTTATTAAGTATAAATGAAAATTATGTTTATTAATAAATGAAACCATAACAACAATAAAATGTAACCATAAAACAGCAAATAATTCTTTCTCTCTCTCTTTCTGTAATATTAGCTATGTAGATTACTTTCCAAAACGTTCCCTCCAAGCAAAATTTTACTCGAAATATATAATACACGTAAACATATTATATCGAGTAAAGTTTCCCTCGAAGGGAACGTTTTGAAAAGTAGTCTACATAACGAAAACTTATATAAGTTCTTTATTATACATATGTTTCGTTTTTTTATATTTTTTTTTAAACAATTGTTTTCTTTTATATAACTTACTCTGATCTTTATAACTTATAGCGTTTTCGATTAACCGACTCGACCCGACTCCGGGTCGGGTTGACTTCGATCACAAGTTCGATTTGAGACTCAATACCTGCATTGACCTGTACAGTGTCATGGCGGAAGAGTTGTCTTCTATAACCTCAATGTACCTCGCAGAAATAATCAGAAATTGTTTATCTTACGAGAAAATTGTGCGAGTCGACAAATGATATCTCTAATGGTTAGATTAGGTAAGAAATTTGTATTATGTTAATAATATAATTGTTGTTAATTATGAAAAACGAGCGTATATAAATGTTAATACACCATTGAATGGTATATAAATTTTGATCGTAACAAATATTGTAAATAATAATTTTTACAGAAAATAATAGCGTAAATATGAAAATTGTTCGAGATGAATCCGGAAAAATGATTCAATTGGCCGAAGGGATTCTGTGCGAATATGTGGATAGCGATGGTAAGTCTTTAGTTGAAAATATTGTAACATTAATAATATCCTTTGTCGTTAATGAATCTATACTGTCATATAGTATTAAAACTATAAAATTATTTTTCTTTTCAGGAAATACCACTTTAAAATTTGTACAAACAACAGATTCGTGCTGTAGCGAATCATTGTCTGAAATTGAAAGTGGTAAGTGATTTGTGTATACATTGCTAGAGGTGAAAAGCTTTGCTTTATAGAAATATTAAAAATAATGATAGATTTTATTTCAGAAAACATGCCATGCAGTACAGCATCATTTAACCATGATATATCTACATCGGAAAAAAAGAATTCGCCTGGAGCTTCTTGGGAAGATAATGAAAGCAAATATTTGCTACAATTATACTATGAAAATATTAAACAAATAGGTCCATTTTCCACATTTAAAAATAAGAAATGTATGTGGGAATTTATAAGTAATGAACTTACAAAGAAATATGGAACTTTTCATTCATCCTTGCAGTGTGAATACCGATATAAGAATATGTTAAAAAGAAGAAATGCTGCAAAGAAAAATAATAAAAAATCAGGAAATAAAAAATATAATGTAGCTTTTGAAGAAGAATTTGAATTAATTAATAGTATCTGATAGCATTGATGATAGCATTGAACCTGACGTTCGCTTTGGTATAGGCCAGTATACTATTAAAAAAAGGAAAATAGATGCTTTGAGCAGTGACGAAGAAATTGAAAAAAAAGTTCCGAAATCTTCAAATATTGTTGCAGTATTACGAGATATTAACAACGAGAAAGAAAAACAGAAAGAGCGTCGACACAAAGAAAAGATAGAAGTTTTTCGAGAATTATTTTCCGCAAATAATAAGTAAAACATATTTTTACGAACATACCATTTATTTTTGTTTATTTAAAACACATTTTAAATATTTTGCATGTGCAATAATCACAGTTTATTGGAATAATATGATTTTCCGTGAGTAAATACATACAACTCTTTCTATTGTTCCTGTCATTTAACGGCATTGTAAAAATTTAAATGTAAGATAGAAAGAGAGCAATAATTGTTATTTTATAATTAGTTAAGAATAAAAAAGATTGAACACTAAAGAACATGTTAAATGACATGAACAGCAGAAAGAGTTGTATAATAATTAGCATATGCAATAAGTTCTATTATCATTTTTTATTTTTCATATATTTTAAATAAAAAATTAAATTTAGAGCATACAGCCACAAACGCAAAATGTTGCTACTTTTATTATAAATTATTAAATCAAAGATAAAAGATTCTAGTAACTAACATCTTGCGTTTGTAGCTGTATGCTCTAGATTAATTATTTTATTTACAGTATTAAACCTCTTTATAATCCTTCTATTAATAATATTTTATATATTGTTGTGATATTACATTATAAGAATTTAAATGTAAGATTTGCCAAAACAGTGCGATATTAATTTTAATTATTTTGTAAGCTGGGCCGAGAAAAAATGTCGGACGCTCGACGCGATGTCGGGACTCGAACCGAGGACCTCGTATGTAGTTCGAAACACAAAGCCACCGCCTTGCCGCGGAGCCACACAGCCCGACACGTAGATCTTAATTAATATCTTACAATTTCATAAGAGTTTATGTTTTTTTTTTTTATAATAAATCATACTGAAGATATTGTTTGTTAACAAACTGTTTAATGAAAGACTGTTACGTTTAATAATAAACTGTTTAATGAAAGACTTTTACGTTTAAATTCATTTATATCAAATCAAATGCTATGCGATCACGTTTCATCTGTCCTAACATTCTTATTCTGTTATTACTATAAGTACATTGCTGGATTGGAAATGGAAGTTCTTCATATTCACAAAAGTCGAGTATATCATTTTCCTCTATACATAAATTATGTAACACACAGCAAGATATAATAAATTTGGACATTAATGTTACAGACCACATATCAAGTCTTGTCAATTGTCGGAATCTGCATTTTAATAATCCAAACGCGTTTTCAATTTTAACTCGCGCTGTACAAAAATGATAATTAAAGTTGGCTTGCACTGGTGTCAACTGGTTCCCACTATATGGTGTTAAAAGATTTGTAGATATTGGATAAGCTGCGTCGCCAATAATGTGATAATAATCTCCCATTCCAGATACTTTTTCTTTAATAAATGACATATCATATACACGAGCATCATGACATTTGCTAGACACTCCAGTGAAACAGTCTATAAATCCTTTTTTTGCGTCACATATGCCTTGTAATGTAAGTGCAGTTTCATCGTGTCTATTTACATAAGTATGACGAATTTTTTTGACAGGTGTTCTGATAGAAATATACATGCCATCTATGCATCCTACAATTCCATCAATTTCGCATATATTTCGAAATTCTTGAGCCTTTTCTTGACGTTCTTGTTCTGTTACAGGAAAACGGATTATTGATGGAGCCAAATCTATTAAAAAATTTGTAACTCTTTTGATAATTTGATGCACTGTGGCAATTTGCATGTCAAAACGATCTGCTACACTCCTTAATACCGTTTTATTTGCAGCAAACCTATACATATTTAAAAAAAATATTACTCGATCAGTATTATTTTATAAAACTGTTATATATTTAAAAATAAGTGAATAAAAAAATGTACCATAAAAAAACTAAAACATGCTCTTTAGGTGTTTTATTATTTCTTCCACGAAGACCCTTAGGACAATATTTGCTCTGTTTAAATAAATTAATGATTCTCTTACATATTTTTCTTGAAAGTCTAAAATGTCTTTGAGACTAAAACAGAGAGAGAGCATAAAAATAACACATAATAACCTATAAATTTAATAGTTACAGAATTAATAAATATATATATTTACCTCTTCTGCAGTATATTGATCAATGACATCTCTAATAAAATGTTTCATTCGCGGTATTTTTCTCTTTTGCACTAATAGATATTGTAATTCTTCATCAGAACTGTCTGATGAAGAAAATAAGAAATCATGTGCTATAATAAATTTTTGTACATTTTTGAAATTATTTTCTTGCGTAGTATTTACTATTGTACTGCATGGCATGATGTTTTCTGAAATAAAATCTATCATTATTTTTAATATTTCTATAAAGCAAAGCTTTTCACCTCTAGCAATGTATACACAAATCACTTACCACTTTCAATTTCAGACAATGATTCGCTACAGCACGAATCTGTTGTTTGTACAAATTTTAAAGTGGTATTTCCTGAAAAGAAAAATAATTTTATAGTTTTAATACTATATGACAGTATAGATTCATTAACGACAAAGGATATTATTAATGTTACAATATTTTCAACTAAAGACTTACCATCGCTATCCACATATTCGCACAGAATCCCTTCGGCCGATTGAATCATTTTTCCGGATTCATCTCGAACAATTTTCATATTTACGCTGTTATTTTCTGTAAAAATTATTATTTACAATATTTGTTACGATCAAAATTTATATACCATTCAATGGTGTATTAACATTTATATACGCTCGTTTTTTCATAATTAACAACAATTATATTATTAACATAATACCTTACCTAATCTATTCATTAGAGATATCATTTGTCGACTCGCACAATTTTCTCGTAAGATAAACAATTTCTGATTATTTCTGCGAGGTACATTGAGGTTATAGAAGACAACTCTTCCGCCATGACACTGTACAGGTCAATGCAGGTATTGAGTCTCAAATCGAACTTGTGATCGAAGTCAACCCGACCCGGAGTCGGGTCGAGTCGGTTAATCGAAAACGCTATAAGTCATAATCGTTATATAACGAATGGAACATCGTAAGTTATGGCGAATTCGATTGGATTGCACCAGTGCAGTGTGATTGCACCAGTTCATCTTTTTTCCTTTTCCCTTCTCCTGGAAAGAAAAGGAAGAAAGATGAACTCAGGTGCACTCAGTGCGCACTAGTGCATCCAATCGAATTCGCCATTAGATTAATAAATTCATGCAAATGCATTTTCAACGTTTGTAAAGTGTCTTACTTGCGTCGAGGTAATCTGACTGACTAAGCCCGGATCCTCATACGGACAACAGCGCTTTGACACCGGACGCTGATTGGTGAAAAACGGGTTATAGGAGTAAATTTACCCTCTCCACCGGTTTTTCACCAATCAGCGTTTGGTGTCAAAGCGCTGTTGCCCGTATGAGGATCCGGGCTAATTGAAAACATATCGATCGAAACTATTCACAACGACTGAAAAACTCAAAACAAAGATATATCAATATAACATTTTCGGAAGTTTATCCAAAAGAAGTCACAGTACACACACACACGGGCGGGTGCAAGGAGGTGGCCTTCGGCCACCCCCCCCCCCCACCCC